AGCAGAGTGGAGGGGCAGGATCACCTCCTTTGAGCTGCTGGTCATGTTCCTTTTGATGCAGCCCAGGATATGGTTGGCTTTCTGGGCTGCAAGTGCACACTGCCGGCTCATGTTCATTTTCTCATCAACCAACACCCCCAGGTCCTTCTCTGCAGGCCTGCTCTGAATCTCTTCTCTGCCCAACCTGTAGCTGTGCCTGGGATTGCTCTGCACCAAGTGTAGGACCTTGCACTTGGCATGGTTAAACTTCATGAGGTTGGCATCAGCCCACCTCACAAGTGTGTCGAGGTCCCTCTGGATGGCATTCCTTCCCTCCAGCATATCAACTGAACCACACAGCTTGGTGTCATTGGCAAACTTGCTGAGGGCGCACTCAATCCCACTGTCCGTGTCAGCGACGAAGATGTTGAACAAGACCAGTCCCAGCACCGATCCCTGAGGGACAGCACTCGTTACTGGTCTCCAGCCGGACATTGAGCCATTGACCACAACTCTTTGTGTGTGACCATCCAACCAGTTCTTTATCCACCGAGTGGTCCATCCATTGAATTGATGTCTCTCCAATTTAGAGACAAGGATGTCGTGTGGGACATAATGTATGGAAAACATTCTCCACTTTGCTCCTTGTCTTTTTCTGCCCACTCATTAATGAGAAAGGACAGTGTTTAAGAGCAGCCACAAACAACTTCTTTTGGTTGAGTGGCAGTACAGCAAAGTTGTCCAATATACCTGCAACACTTCATATAAAGGTCAGTGTGGTACATCAGTGTGGTTTACAAGGAGCAAAACCACAGAAGATTGGCCACTGGGACTGTTAAACTTAGGCCAGCGTGGCCACTGGCCAGCCATCGAAGTTTAGATTGAGAAGTGACTGATGTGGTCAGAAAGCACCAGGCACTATGCCTGGTCAGCACAGTATAAGTGACTGCCACGACTCTGCTTGTGTTGGAGCCCCCTTGGTTGGGAGGCAATACACTGTGCAGGAGGTGCCCTCACGCACCAGAGGGCTGACCTTGAAGCAGGAGAGAGGTTTATAGTGGTGGTTTTCTGCAGCAAGGAGGACAGGCAGTTCTTGGTCCATGTTGAGGGCAACTACAGGGCAAAACTGGTACAGCTTATGAGGGACCATATACTTCTGCCTACACTCCCTTGCCTCTCAAATACACCTCGCTGTGCTTATCCCCACACTGTCACAGATAGCATCCTGACTGGCTGCTAGCAGAGGAGTGGTTGCTTGTGTTGGTGTACGTGCTGCTCTGCTGTTCTGCAAGTGGCTTGGGTTGCAATGACTGGGATGCACTCGCAGAGGTGTTCCCTCTTAGTATGTAATCTCTGTGTCCTCCGCAAGGGCTGGACTTGGTCACTATAGGGTTGCTGCTGCTAATGCTGCTTCCTCAGAGGCCTATGGAGAAAAGCTTTGGTGATTTATGGTTGTTCTTTTCATAGTGCCCTGATTCTCTGGGGCAAATCTTCTGCAACAGTCTTGTACCTTTGACCACGTCCTAGGGGGACTGTTAGGAGTAAAGGTCTGTACAAGGTGACCTACCAGTACTGGTAAATGCCTTTAATACTGTGAGGGGCAGCAGGCAGATGGCAATGTCACAGTCCTATTCTTCCTGGCTCCACACCATGGGAGGAGGCAGCCCTGTCAATATGGACAAAACGGATGGGAGGAAAGCTAACCTGTGCACTTTTCTGTTGTGTTTCTTATAGCTGTTTCTAAGTGATAAAGGAAAGGATAACCTCCTTATGCTTCTGATTAGTCTTTTGATTGCAGTGGAGGGTTCTCATAGGCTTCTGTGTTGCTCAGGAACATGCTGCCCTTCATCTGAGTCCCTCTGATGTCATTCTGACCTGTCACGGTCTCTGTCAAGGGGAATGGTCTTCTGCCCCAGCTAGTAAATGTGCTTTTTCTTCTTCATGCTCTCTCCTCTACCACCAACATGACGCCATGGGACAATTCATCCAGACCTTAATTGGGGTGTTCACTGATCACAGCATCACTACAGCATGGCTGGGTGGCAAATGTGTGGGGGACAGAGAGAGGATAGCCTGAGGTTGGACCTTCTCATGACAGGAGACTCCTGCAGACCATAAATGTGAGGATGAAGGTATACTGCTGACTCAGACAATATGGAAGGGGAGATCTTGTTGTGTTGTAGTGGTTTACCAGGTAATTGCCCTGCAGATCAAATGCCAGCACGATCAAATAATTCTGCCTAGTAGTTCAGTGGGGGGATAAAATCTTTATTAGCTGATGGCACAGCTTTGACAGTGACAATGTGTAGCCTGCTGTTTCTGGGGATGACAAAGGCTGGCATGTGTACAGTCACATATGGATGCCATTAAAGTTCAGTTCCCTCTGCAAGGCCGAAATTCTTAGAAATCAACCCCACAGGCAAGTGCCTCACTCTCAGCCAGAATGGAGTGAAACTGCAGAGTGTTTTTTTGCAGGAAGAATTTTCTGACTGATGGAAATCAGGCAAGACACTTGTTGCTTAGAAAGCATGCTCTCATTATGGCTGTTTTCACCTGGAAGGAGGACTCACTGATGTCCTTTTAGCATGTGGGCCCCTTTACTGCTTTCTTACATCTACACACGGTCCAAGTCAGAGAAAAAAGCCAGTTTATAAGCACTACGTTCACTGGAGGCAGCTCTTTTGGCAAAGGACAGAGGTTACAGAAGAGAAGTTGGTATGCTGGCACTTGTGTTTTGTGCCTCATCTTCAGTCCTCTTGATCTCAGACAAAAGTGATGTACTAGCAGCCTGCCTATTCTATGCTTGTAAGAACAGACAAATTGCAGTACTGTAGGGCTTGATTAATTTGCCGAAATAAAAGTGTTGAGTGCTGTTCGAGATGCCCTGGGTAGCCCTGCGTGGCTTCTAGCTCCTAGTACAGGAGGGACTCTTTTTCCTGTATAACCAATATTGCAGCTATCAACCTCATGTGAGTGCTTCAAATGTGCTAGGGCACCTCAAAAGACACAGGATGCTTGTGCATGGATAATTGACACATTTTTCTTTGTAGTGTCTTACCTGCTGAAGGTCTCTGATGAGCTGCTCCCAGTCAGTTTTATCCCTTTGATGTTAGAGAATGTGTGCAGCCCAAAAGTGGGAGGAATCTTTATGGTTTTCTGTTAAAAATATGAATTTTCTGCAATGAAGTCTACAGTATACCTCTCAACTACCCCTCACCACCCGCCACTGCAAATCACTCTTTGAAATGCAAAGTTTGTGCTTGTCTTCTGTTTGGTGAAGGCAGCATAGGCTTGAAAGACATTTTTAAGCATGTGAGAAGGAAAGATCAGGCAGCTCTTTATATTTTGACATCAGAACTCTTCCAAATTCCAGAGTGCAGAGCATCTGTAATGTATATGTTCTTTGCATACTCTCTTTTATGCTAGGATTGACAATTTAAATCCTTGGGGATTTGATTATGTTGTGATGAGACACATGGTAAGATAGAAAGTCAGATGTCTTGGTTTTGGAATTGGGTCTGTGAGTACTTAAATGAGGATATGGAAGATTATAAATTGTTAACTTGCTAATGTAATCAGCCTGCTTGTTATGTTGCCCAGTAATGATGATCTGTATGTACATCTTTGTTGACTAAATGCTGAGGGGAATGCTCAGCATGGCTGCTTTTGTATGCAGGGACAAACACAAGCTAAAATGGCAACCTAAGAGGTGCTTACGATGGATCACTAGAAGTTTTTATCTTGGTCTTCTCAAACTTGAAAATGGCACTACAGTGTGCTTTTAGATTCCAGCAGATAGCTGGATCTCAGCTTCCTCATCCTGCTTAGGGACAACCTGCCAGATTCACAGATTCTATGTGTCCATTTCCCCCCCCCCCCCCCCCCCCCCCCCGAGGCAGTGGATGGTGGAGTCAGTTCAGTCTCTCACACACCTGAAGGTCTTGCAGCGAGGGGCCCAGAACTGAACACAGTATTTGAGGTGTGGCCTCACCAGTGCTGAGTACAGGGAATGATCACTGCGCTGGCCCTGCTGGCCACACTATTGCTGATACGGGCCAGGATGCTGTTGGCCTTCTTGGCTGCCTGGGCACAAGCTGACTTATGTTCAGCAGTTGTCAGTCGGCACCCCTAGGTCCTTTTCCATGAGCAGCTTTCCAGTCACTCTTTCCCAAGCCTGTGGCATTGTATGGGATTGTTGTGGCCCAAATGCAGGACCCAGCACTGAGCCTTGTTGAGCCTCATACAATTCACCCTATATCATATATATACACCTTCAAACAGCCCAACATTTTCAAGATTTGTACAAGACACAACAAAATGACATAAGCTGGTGTGATTCATACTGTTATTTGCATGCCCCCTTGTTACTATGTGCCTTATTATTTCTCTTGCTCCAAGTAGCCTTATCCCCACACATCAGGATCCAACTCTGTTGGAGGCTGCTCAAACAGCTACAGAAAATTCACTCTGCTACTATGTGCTTATGGTAAAATTTCAGTCAAAAAACAGCAGATGAATGGGAAGGCAACAAGATGAACAGCGTTCAGCAGAAAGCTAGAAGTCATCACAAGTCTTTTCAAGACAGCAAATGTCTTGTTCTATATCTAGTTAATATTCTGTTTGACTTTGCAAGGGTGAGGACTCTTAAGTTGAATACCAGAAACAGCAGGCATAAACACAGAAGAGCATGCAATAGGGTAAAATAGATGACACCTGAAAATTCTGTTTTAATAATTAATGTTAATGAAGATGTGGGATACAGTGAACTGCTCTTAATTAAAATGGATTCATTAAAATTGCCAGTTCACATTGTTTGTGCAATGATTAGGAATAGTAAAAATAGATGGATTTACTCTTTCCCTCTACAAACAGAAATTCTTCCTTTTTAGATTTACCTAGATATGTTCCCCTCATTTCCTAAAGAACCAAGAAACTATGCATATGATAACTAGCATGAGGTTTAAGCATGAACAGTGCTAGTTCAGACCACTGATCATTCTTTTTTCATTTATTTTATGTAGGTTTCCTTTGCCTGATCTGTAAACATGTCCACAGACCTGCTATGTAAGTACATTTCCGTTATCCCACAGTGATTTTTTTGTACCATATGTTTTTATCAGATTCCCAGATGTGCTCATGATTGATGTCTTTTATCTTAAGTATAAAGTCTGCATTTTTCTGAGACATCTGTGGAACAATATTACCATTATAATCAACGGGATTATTCTTGGAGTAAACCATGACTTAATATGAGTAAAATTGTAAAAATCTGGCCTATGTATAAGAACAGACTGGTTCATTGAGACTTAAAATTACAATTCTATCTAAAGTGTTTTATCTATCTTTGGCACAAATACCATCCCAGATTACTACTGCGTGATGTACTTGGGGTTTTTTAATCACTTTATGAATTTAACTCTAATGTTTCCAATGCATCTTTATCCAAGTCACATCCAAATCTCACGCCTCATCACTATTATTCATCCTTCTTTTTCTACAATAAAGAATATACAAGTGGCATATCCTGATGCTTTCTTGTCATAACTACCACAAAACACTACTGCTCAGGTCTGCCCAGTACTTGTACTCTCTTGCTCCAGCTTAGCTATCTGCAGCATTAAGCACATTTTCTATGCTTATTGACCTGATCTACATGCTTTCTTTTGGAGGCCCTCCAGTGCGTCAGCTGCCATTTTTTTATCATGGCCTCTGAGGGCTGCCCAGCATGCACGCTGCAGTGTAAGACAGGGGAATTTCAGAAACCCACTTTATCAATCTCCAGTATTTCCTCAGAGGAACAAAGAAAACGATTTTTTTGGCTCAGTAATTGTAATCATTTAATAAATATAAAACCATCAGTGGCTTGCTTGGCAGGTGGCAGCTGTCTGTGAAGGTAATATTTTCAAGATCAAGTTATTTGCAAAAGTGCAATTTTTTGAGCTTTATCTGCTAACTGGCTATTTTGGGGCATGCTTGAGTACCATTTAGATGCAGGAAGAACTCTAAAATGAGGATTGTAATATACCTGACTGTATCATATACAACAGGCAAAACTGCTATCAGAAGTGAAATGTTAAAGAAAGGAGAGAGGGCAGGTTGACTGCACAGTAGTCATGGTCAAAATTACTTAAGACTCCTTAACTTTACTCAGATGTGTAAGCTGGTTTACTGTTTAAGCTATCTTATGCCCTGGCAGTTTCATTTTTCTCTCCTCAGCTCAGCCTCAGCACCTCTCTCATTTTCCTAATGACCAGTGGGTTAGAGAAGTTGTCACCTGAGTAGAGGTTGAAGGAGATTTGTGTGTTCAGACTGGGGAAGAGGAGGTTTAAGGGGTCTTCCTGTACAGAAATAGTAGTTATGGAGATGGAGGTAGAAGCACTTTCCCCAGTCATGCCCGTCACGGGACAAGGGGTGATGTCCCTTCAGGGGACCCTTCAGGTTCCTTCAGGGGAGATGCTGCTGGCTGTAAGGGGCATTTTCACTGTGGGATTGAATAAACATTGGAATAGGCTGCCCAGGGAAGCGGTGGAATTTCACACTCTGGAAATACTCGAGAGATGGCTTGGCAGGGCCCTGGGTAACACTCATCTTAAGGGCCAGCTCTCAACAAGAGGCTGGTCTAGATGATCTCCACAGGTCTCTTGTAGCATGGAGAATTTTGTGGTTCTATGTTCCCTTGTGTCCTTGGCTATCTTCTGTGCAGTGACCTATCATTCCTATCACCTATCCTTGGTCATCTTGGTATTGTACTGCTTGTGCTGTGACAGGTCCTGTGATACTCAATCATACTAGAGGGGTAGACATTTGTCTTCTCACTTGGAGATGTGCAAATAGCATCGAGGCAGTAGCAGTGCTGGTGGAACCTTCCAGGTTCCAGCTGGTGGGAGAACACTAAAGAATAACATGGCAAATCTGTACACATGTGAAATGATTCTAGATCTTTATGTCTGTTTTTATATAAATAAATAGTACAGAGCCAGCCCATGAGCTCAGTACTGGCCTATGCAAACAACAGGGTGTGTTTTGGGGAGAACATCTACCAGACTCTGTTCCAGGTAAGGAATTTGAATGTAACCACACTGTTTGTGGGGGAAAAGGGAAGAAGATGAGGAGTGTTTAGACACATGGAAGTGATGCCAAATGGTCTCAGCACCAGGGAAGAGTTTCTGGCTCTTACTATTTAGAAGTAGACATGTAGCCTAACCACGCAGTCCCTAAATCTGACCACAGCATCATCTTTCACTAATGCTTGGTTCAATACAAGGTCAAATTCTAGGATTAAAAATCTTGTTCCAGGTCACATTAATGAAGACTAGATGTATAATTAAAAAGAAAAAAATCTAATCAAACCAGAACAAACCCTTTTAGATTCCTAGGAAAAGAACACTGCAGTCTGGGGCAAACTGCACAAAGAAAATGTCATGGCTTCACAATACAAGGGCTGCTGCAGTTAGGCCTTAAACTCCAGCATCTAAGTCTTCAAGCCTGTGGAAATACAATGGAAAAACCAACATCCCAGTGAAGTTTCAGCACGATGAATTTGAGGTAGCGAGTGTTTCTCTGTTTTAGATGGAGAAGCTAAGTAAAGAGAGAGAGAAGTTTATAAATTATCTGGCAGCTACTGAGGCTCGGCTGGTCAGGGAAGCAGTGGACTTCCCTTGGAGCTTGTTTTTCTTTTTATCCTTGGATGAACTAGTGTGCAGTATATTATGCTGCCTGAATGTAGGGGTTTGTCACAGTTAGCGCCGGGGGCTGTCCTGGGAACGTAGGAAGGCGACGGGCATGAATGGAGCATGCGGTGGTCGGTGGGGTTTGAGCCCGCTTTTCGGGAGCCTGTTGCTGCTCCTCTTGGCCTGGCCTGCCAAAGCCACGCAGGAAAGGAGGTGGGTCTTTGATCTCTTTGTTGTAGCTGCTCCCTGGGAATTTGCTGAAATCAATGCCCTGTTTTCCTGAAGAAATGAATGGCTATGCCTAACTAGCTTTGTGAAGAGCTGGGGAATTCACCGCTTCTGTTTATTGACAGCTGAAAAGGAGCACATGGTGCTGAATGGGTCCTCCTGGGGAAACAAAACAGAGTGGAGTTAGACTTAGTTGAACACAGGGGCATTTGGAAAAGTCTGCTGAAGGAGGATGGCACGTCTCCTGCCACCTTGCACTAGCATAGCCTGACTTTTAACTGAAAATGCCATTTTGAATAAGGTAAGGATTGTTTTGATTTCCCATATGTAGTGTGATTGTGAAATGTTTGCATTTCTGTTCTCGAGTGCAAAACCAATGTTTGAATTGTATTCTGTCATGGGAAACACCTAAGTGACTATTGTGCAGTTTCCAGCCTCAGTTTGTGTTGATTAGTACTTTATCTAATGGTGATTTAATCAATCTGAAAATTAATAATTTGGTATTTGGGTCTTGCAGTAAGGTTTTGAACATCAGTCATTTGTGTAGGCTGTTATATTAAATTTTTTATGTCTTTGAGACTCAGCCAAATTGCATCAGATGATTTCTTGACTGATACAAATTGCTGTGTTAGGACTTACACACAAGGCAGTGACTAACAAGCAGGCCTGTCTGGCAGAAAATCAGGGAATCTAAATCCCTTGAAATGTAAGGATGTATTTCCAAACCTCTGTTTCTATAGATAGATTTAAGGCAAGAGGCAGACTTGCCGTTACGCTTGCTGGTTTTAGATGCACAGATTTTTGTAAAGACAGCAAAGAATAGCAAGAGGAGGATGATAATGAAGAAACAGTGTTTTCTGCGTGTGAGTTCAGAACAGTTTATCAGACCAAAGGAATTTGGTGTGTAATTCATATGTAAATTTTCTACTGAAAACAGGAGAACAAATCACCAGAGTTTTTATATTAGTTTCTCCGGTGACTGAAGAAAAGTATTTCTCAGCTCACGCAGCTACTATTTTCAGGTGTGGTCCACTTATGACTGCAGGAAAAATGTTAAGTAATGTCATTCCTTCCTACGTCAGTTTAAGGGCAAGTTCTGAACACAGTAATTACCATTGTGCTGCCTTATTCTTACACGGCAGCAGGAATTGCTGAGCTTGTGTTGCAAACCTGATGAAAAATGTCTTTGCGTGCATACAGTTCTTTGAAAACTCCTGAGTAGTCCCCTAATTTCAGGGCAAGGGCTTGGGAAGTTTCGTGTTTTGTCAGAGTAGTTTGTGTTCCTCAGTCTGGCATTTTTTTCTTTGAGTGACTTTGAGCTAGTAATCGTACTAGTTTTGTCTCATTTTGTGCTTCTCTGCAGCAGATAGCTTATCTGTTTTTCTTGGAAGTATTTGGGCTCTATATGCAAACATGTTTTGTTCAGAATATTTTGTGATCCTAAAAATGAAAGTATAGTGCTTAACTGTAGAGAGTCAGTATTTTTGTTTGTGCCTTCTGCCTTCAAGTTTCCAAGATTTTTAGAGGGAAAAGCAGAAAAACCAAGTGCATTTATAGTTTTGACAAAGACATAAAAACGCTGAACTCTAGCAGGCTGGTATTGGTGTTTGTGGGCTCTGTTGCAATTATTGTTATCCAAATGTGTTAGGAGTAGGTTTTGCCCTCATTTAAGTGTATTTATATGTGACAGACATTGGAAGCCACTAAAATTTAAAACTAATTTACAGTTAACATCTAAGTTAGAAAGGAGGTACATTTGTAGGTCATTAGAGCATTAACTTAGATGTCTTATGAAAATGTTGACGGGTGTGGGCTATTGAGTAGTCAAAATGGCATAAATAGAAAATTGCGGTTGTGGAAAACTCAGTTGATCAGAGTGGTTTTAGTTAGTATAATGGAGAAGAAAGTAGATGATTCATGTGTGACACAGAAGGTGGCATTTGTTCTCCCTTACTTGGGTGATAAGGCAGGGCGAAGGGTGTTATATTTAACTCATGTGGAAGGAAGTGCATGGGGGTGTTTTGGCAGGACAGTTTTCCCTTTGCCTTTTCTAACGTGAAGGATCTTTATAAAACATGAATATCAGTGTGACCTACTGGCATTGTTGAAGTGGGTGGAGAATATTATAATTGGTTTCCAGTCAATGGAGTAAGATATACCAAAGTGGGATGTGTGATCATACACAGCTCTAAGTAAATATGCATATTAAGTGACCAGGGTTATACCAATACATAACTGAGGAATGGTAGATTTCTCCTGAGGTGATGTGTTTACCATCTGTTGATCTCATTTTTCGAGCTAGGGAAATATGAAAATGGGAAAAAATTCTTTGCGGTTTTGCTTTGCAAGGTTGCTTGTTATATTCTAATGACAGAGACCACTGTTGATTTTATTTTTGTGATTTTTGGAAATAGTTTAAAGAAACTACAAATTAATCAGAAACATAAAAGAAGTGTCTTTGGATTTTGCTTAATCTCAAACTGAGATTCTCAATAGGAAAATAAATAGGGCTTTATGGGCATACATTATAATCTGTGTTTAGAGTGCTTAATCTGCAGAAAAGAGCTGCATTTTTTTCTAAACCCACAATTTTTTCTAACTTTCAGATGTAATTCTCCAGTAACAGTCTATAATCACATATTTTGTCATTCTCTGTTTTAGAGAACTAGACTCAAGGCTGTCCTTACACCTCAGAAGAACAGTTATTGTAAGGGAAATGTAGTATACTGCTGCCTAATTTATACTGCCAGTTTTATTGCCCTTTTTTAATCAGTCTGTTAAAGAAGCTCAGGTGGACATAATTTGTTATGTACAGTATCAGTCAAGACATTAGATAATTGTCTTATAGTTACCATTTAAAGTCTTTAGAGTGGAAAAAAGTACATGTTAGATCACAGGAAAAAGAGAAGAAGTAAATGGAAACACAGATGAAAGTTGCATGTATATTTTTCACAAAGACAAACTTCTGCGTCTGTTTAACAGCAGAGCTTTCCAATGCCTGTGGTTTTGATTTTAAAAAAGAAACTTTATGCCCTAAAAGAGGGGAATAATTTAACAGGATCAGAAAGGTTAGGATGGGAGTCTCCTATCCATTTTGTTTCCAGAGAAGCTGGGAATTAAGCATCCTTTTTGTGTTGGAGATCAGGAAAGTAATAACAGAAGCTGTTGGCTGTGTCCTCTGTTATGAAGGTGATGCATATTAAGAACTAAAGCTGTTCTGCTAAGCTGTTAATGACCCTTCATTTACAAAAAATCAATGCTTTAAAAAAAAGACTCCTACATTTCAGTATTTTAAATATGTGCTTTAGGTTTCATTAGTCAAAAAAAAAAAAAAACCACACCAAAAACCAACTATTTTTTCCTCTTGGGTTAACTGGAATACCAGTAGGAGGTTTGGATGGTTCACTGAGAAAGCTAACTGATTTTCCAGTTTCATTCAGATTTAGTTTCGACTGAATGTAATATGGATTGGAGTGTTCTTTCAGGATAGGCCCTCCAAAATCTCAGCCCCTGCCAGTCCTAAGTTCCATAATACTCACTTCTCCACACAGACTTATTTCTTTCATAATATGGCTACTCACACATAAGTAGAGCTGAGTATATGGACTTCTTCCTGCAGAAGCAAGTCCCACGGTTTTTACACTGTCCTTTTATTCCCAGTAGCTGTAGCTTGCTTAATTTAGTTGTAACTGCCTCTAAGTACCTCAAGTTCTTCAGCCACAGGATGAGTACAGCATCTCTTCGCTCTTGTTGTGCCAGGCTTCCTCAGTGCCATATCTGACAGTAAACTAATATTTCCTTCTCCAAAGTTTATCTACCTTCCTGGTTCTTTTCTACAAGTAAGCAGCTGGAAATATATCCCAGCCACTAGCATCTTTGCTGGGAAAGTTCTTGCACGTCCATGTTGGAAGTTGTGTCCCAAGTGGAAGAGCAAGTAACTAAGGAGAGAGGTGGCTTTGTCACTGAACCTTCCACCAGTCTCCTCCACATGACATCTGGGCTTGGTGGCCAGTAACAACCAAGTGCACTGAAAGAGAGACCCAGTCTAAGGTTCCCTTTTAAGGGAATGTTACAAGGGTTGGAAATATTTCAGTTAATACGAAGTGTTAGTCATTGCAATTGCTGCACAATCAGAATTGAAACTGTGGTGTTGACCTGTCATGAATAAAATTGTCGACTTTATTAATGCACTTGATATGGTGTGTGTGGCTGCGTGTGTATTTATAAATACATACATTTAGCAAGACATACGTGCTTGTTTTTTTTTGTGCTAGAACAAAGATGGAAGATTCTGGTGTTTGTTAAATCGCAGCAGTAACATTAAGATACCCACTAAACAAATCAACTGGCCTGCCAGAAACCTCACAAAAAAATGCATGAAGACCAGTTAAAGCTACTTTTGCTGTGGGAGGTAAAACATGTGCAGTGGGAGATGTAGATTAGGAGGTGCAACACGTGGTCCAGAATCCACAGGGTGCTTATGAACAGTTTGAATGTGACTGTTGGTGGCTGGCTGTATTTCTGTGGACAGGAGGATTTTAGTTTTGCTGTCTGCAGAATGAAAACAAGGTAGTTTGGACAGTGCTAGTGAAGACCTAAAGCAAGAAGGGGCACAGGCAAGGAGCTACAACCTTGCCCCACGACCAGCTGCTGGGGGAGATGAGCAGTGTAAACAGAAAGGCTTGGCTCGCAGTAAGCTTTTTTGCTGGGCATTTTGTAGGATCAGGCTATGCTGACTGAGGATGTTTCTCATAAAAAATAGTAGTTGTTTCTGTGAATTTGCTGTTAACCTCCTTTGCGGTTTCTGGATCTAATTGTGTATGACTTCATGCCAAGCCAGTGGAGGGAGAGAAGGAATTAAAAAAATGCTGAAAAATCAAACTGCATTTTTCAATTTTGTTGCTTGAAATGTATTCAGCTTTCAGCAATGAGAGAAGTTGCTTTGTGCACACTGATTAGAAGCTATTACATGTAAACTGTGGGAAGTGACTTCACATGAACTATGTTCATTATGCGTATGGCTTCTGATAGCAACCAAACCCCATGTGATGTACCAGAAATGTGACACGTACATTTTAGTCCCAAGAATAACCAGAAAAAGATTATTCTTGAAATTAGCTTTCAATTAAGCAGTCAGTGCTTTGATCTCAATTAATTTCTAATGAATGAACCTACCAAGAATAAACACCTACGTACTTTCCTTGCTGTTTGGTTTGTTGTTTGGTTTTGTTTTATTTTTATTTCTTTTAGTTTGCAGGAAAATCTCAGAAGTTCCTGCCTTTTCAGGTATTCGAACAGTGA